AGAAAAGAAGCCTCCCTCCAGATAGTAATCCCACTGACTAAAATGGGACTATTTCTAGGAGTAAGGGTTTGCAGGTTTGGATCTATAGTTTCTCTCCTTACCTACGGCCCAGCAAAATGTTTCTTTTATTACAAAAGCTCACAGATTATTTGTAAATTAAACAAGAAATCTGAAAATACATTGGGACAAATTCTGCTCTCAGTCATACCCTTGAGACCATGATCATTGAAGTCAGTGAGGATCAAGGAACATAGGGTAGAATTTGGCCCAATTTTGGGCTGGGGACGGTGTCTGAGTGGAAATCCTAATAGTTTCCTCTTGTCTAGAAGGAGGGTATAAAAATGATTAACCTGTCCACAATGCGACTCCTTTGGTTTGTTAGACAATATCAGGGTTAGCAAATACAAGAGAGACTCTCTCCTCAGAAATGGGCTGTTCATTGCAGAGGATGTTCAGTGTTATCAGCAGTCATGAAAATTCCTTAGTCAGGGCAAATAATTGTCCCTTTTTGCATTGTCGGTTAAACCTTTGCTGACACCAACTCTTTCCGATTGTGAAACCTGCTTAGAAAACAAGTTTCCTACTCAGTGTAATGTTCTACATGGCAATCTCCTATTCACATTCCTGTATCAGTTGAAATATCCATATCGAATAAATGGCTAGAGTTGTTTGCCCTGAATGCTGAAGGCTGCATCTTTTTCTGTCCCCACCGACATCTTTTCTTTTCTTGGCTGTGGGTTTTCCAGAGGAATGCTGCCATTTAAATAAATGGACACAATAAATAAATGGGGACACATTTTACATGAATATAGGCTAGAAAGCAAGAATGTAATGAGTAAATGTATTTTCTATGAGCCTTATTGTGCCATCAATTTGAGGCAGAATTTGGGGGAATTCTGGTTACAAATCGATAGCATGATATTGCCCTATGTTGTTTTAGCGAAGACTTTTATGTTTACACACTCTGCTGTCTAGAATGAAGTATACAAATCGGTAGAATCATTGCCAGTAACAGTTAATATCCGGATCTCTCCTGTTCACGTTAAATAACAATACGCCATAACTGTAACATGTTGCATATTACTAATGTATTCCGTTTATAAAACCCTCTCCGGTATTATGAACTTGTACAAAGAGCATTGTCAATAGAAGAATGAAGTGGTTGGAGCGCTTCCACACCTTGAAACTAGCATTTGACAAGTGTACAAAGAATAGATACTTAAAAGTCAATCAGAATTAACCCCGGGGAAAAGCTCAGGGATATAAACAATGTAGTCTGGTAGTTTGTTTCCATAACAGCCCTACATATTTTCTCCAGTGGAGTGCTGTTATTTGCAGATACTTTGAATCATATAAATTCCTGTGTTCTTCCTTTTAGCCTTTGCTTGTTCGAGTGCTCATCAAACTTTTTAATGCAAACTGCACTTCAGGACAAAGGGCAATATCTGTGCTATGGATCTGGAAGCAGAATTCTCTATTGATTTCAAAATCGATAGCACAATATGGCCCAAAGAATTCTAGTTAGCTGCCCAGGCACCGGCAGTGTCTTTTCCTCTTGTTCCTACAGCGGGCGCTGGAGCTAATCACGCCGTGGCAATGCTCAGCGTTCTGGGGTTGGGGACTAGGGCTGTCATCCCAGCACACTGTACTGAACAAACTCCGAAAGCAAACTTGGCCGACCGTGTTCCGGCATGCCAGCATCTTTGCCGGTAGGTGGCATCCCTTGTCCGCAGAGAGTCTCCGCCAAAGAGCGCTCACTGAAAGGAAATCTGCAGAGAAGCAGCGCGATTTCGGCTCTGGTGAGGAAACTCAACTTTGCGTTTCGCTGTCTTGTCTGTAAAAAGAGCAAAACATCAAATCGCTGGGCTGGCGGTTGTTTAGCAAAGAGCTTCTGTCTGGGCCCGACAGTTCTTCACGCCGAGCACTGTCGTTCATTTGACACATGCAAGGAGATGGACTTTGCTTTCTCCTTCTTTACCTGCTGTTTGATTTCCTGCACGAGCGAAACACAGCAGAGCTGTCCAGAGAACTGCAGTCAGGGCCTGCTCCCGAGGTTATTTCCCTGTCGAGCAATGTCTGACGTGGTTTGTTTCGTTGTCTTCTGTCACACATTTTTAGCACAGCCTTTATAAGTTTGGAAGGAAAGAAGTCACATATTCTTTTGGAGAAAAAAAGTCACCATCACTCTGAGGGACTGCAATAAAACCTTATCTTAATTGTCTGTAGTCAGAGCTGACTCACTGCCCTTCAGTAAACCCCACCTCTCTTTCCTCGAGTGACAGATTATAACATTTTCAAAGTGTGTAGGGAAGATACATTTTAACCACCTGAGACAAAGTGGCTCAGGGTATGTGAATATTTCAGTTTTTCATCGGCGTGTGCATCAAAAACATGGAAATAGAATGCCGCGATACGGCTCAATATGCGAACACAGTTTTCTGCATGTGTTACGCATATAAAATGTACATAGATGAATCATGCACGGGTTTTGGCAGACAGGATAAAGGCAGGTATGATTATTTTTGCATTCTTATTTCTGTAAAGCTGCTGCCGGCCCACGAATGTTAAACTCCATTCTTCTTATTTAGTTCTTTTTGGACGACTATAAACATTCTAAACACGAGAGGTACTAGAAGACAAGGAGAATTGGAAAAAAAAACACTAACTAACTAACAAGACACTAGAACAAACAAAAACCAACTTTAAACACTTTTCAGGCAGGGAAACCTTATATAATAACTTGCCTTGGTATCCAAAACGGAAAACTATTTCCCCACATAAATGATATTTCACTCGCTATTTTTAAATACAACGCGAGTTACTTTATCATTTCTACAGAGGTACAAAATCTATTAGCCAAAACATAGCTATTGCTTTAATTATTCTTTTGCTTTTGTAACTTTTTGTGGTATGCTCCTTTGGCTTCTCAGTAATGAACACAATGTAAATAGGATTATTTGGAAATAGTAACAAGGATTATGTTCACAAATCCATGAACCTGAGTTTGAAACAGTTTTGCTTGCAACTTTTGATTTTGAAAATATATTGCAAATGCATTTGAATAAAATGTTATATTTGAAATATGCGTTATAGAGCGTAGTTATTTTTTCTTTTCAGAATAATTGTAATCAGAATAAAAAGATAACTTTTATATACTGTCCTACATTAAAACAGACTATCATTTAAAGTTAATTCGGTAGAACTATGTATAATATGTATTCAAGATGGTTCTTTTTAATGTCAGAATACTTAGAAGTGCATTTTTCATAATCTTTCCCCTCTAACGTCAGAAGTGATCCATTAAATGTGTGCGCCCTCTAATTGAGAGGAGTATAATCTTTTGTTACTATAAAGTGTGTCGTCTGACATTGAAAAAAAATCATGATGTTATTAGGAAATATAATTTTGTTTCACTTTCTTATTACTTTTGCTCCACAGCTCAAAGGCGAAGAGATTCTTAAAATATGATGTATTGTTTCTCCTTGCCCGAGAAGGGGACTTCTCTTTTTCTGTGTTTCCTACAACCGAAAGGGCTACACTTCTTCCTTTAAATAAAGTCCTTAAAATCAAATATGAAAATAATGGGGGTATTTTTGATTCGGTTGACAGCTAGAGATATACAGTATGTGTGATATCACTCCTAAATGACAAATACCCTGAAGAGAGGGAAAAAAAGTTTTCTAAAAGTTTCTGCCTAAGAAGCAATTTCACTGGAGGTTTAGAGCACTACCCCCATCCTGATGGTTAGGAAATGTTCTACCAAAAGTTCCATTCAGATCCTGCCCTGGACTCGAAGACCGACTTTAATTTCAAAGGGCTCATTACTATATATAAAAATGATGTCTATATTTTTATCAGGCGTGTTCTCCTTTTCCTTCGTCTTAAATTGCAGTTATTGAATTAAAATCAAATTGTCTTCAGAAGAAATTCATCTGCAAAAACGACTATATTCTGCTAACATTCCGGTGAAAACAGATGGTTTTGCATTTTCTCCTCCTGTGTAGTAAAACCGCAGGGGAAAAAAAGAAAACGTGTCCGCTGGGGGGTCTCAAAATCCTAATGAATGAAACAGTAAAATGCAGATGTCCCTGCCACCCGTGGGATATTTGCATGGACGGTTCCTGTATTTGGGATCATTGCCTCGCTCCCTTTTTGGTGCGATTTCCCCTTTTCCTGGGAAGGTTCGAGCTACAAAGGACATCAAGGGCGTTCAGTTGCTGAAATGCCTTGCGATTTGGGCAGTGATTTGGGTAGCAAATGTGTTCTCCAGCGACTACTCAAAATAACCCCAGCAACAGAAGTGCAGTTTGGTGTTGCGGCACATGGAGGGAGGAGGGCGGGGGAGGAACTGCAATGGGATGGCACACTGTATATTGGGAGAGGCAGCAGGAAGGACTGCGTATTTCAGTTTCCCAACCCTGACCTTTAGCAATGCGGGCAGTCGAGTTTCTTGGAAGCATCAGGACTGGGGAGGGGGGGTGTTCGTGCCTCCCCCCGCACCCTCCTCCCCCCGGACTTTGCCTGCTCCGTCCTGGTTTGATTTCTCCAAGCAGGAATCCGCTGAGATGTTTCCCCAGTTGTGGCGCTGACGTTTGGAGCCATGTGATGGGCCCCCTTTCGCTATAAGGAGAGAAGAAAGGCCGCCCTCTTTTGGACTCAGCCCCAGCCTTTTCAAGATCTTTCCCAAGACTCTTCCCACCCCCCACCCCCACCCCCAATACTAATCGCTCTCCCTCCTTCCCTGGATCCATTAATGTCCGAGGGCTCCTGCGAGGAGGAGAAAGAGAGGAACCAACTCCAGGGCGCAGCCAAGGGGGAGAGATTTCCCGCTGCCTGCTCGGCGGAGGCTGCTGCTGACTGTTGTGTTTGTTGCTTGTTCGCACCAGGGCTGCAGATCCTGGCTCTGTCTGGGCGGATTCGCCGCCGAGAGCAAAGCAGGGGGACTCCAGCGTGCACGGCTCCCCGGCCCCGCCGCCCCCGATGAGCCGCTCCGCCAAGCCATGACTCTGAGCTCGGAGATGTCCGATGCCTCGGGACTGGCTGAAGAGACCGACATCGATGTGGTGGGCGAGGGCGAGGAGGAAGACGAGGAGCCCCGGCGCGGCGGGCGCCCCTATGCCCAGGAGGAGGAAGAGGAGGAGGAGGAGGAAGACGAGGAGGTGGGGGAGCTCCCCGATGACATCTCGCTGCCCAGGTCCCCGGCGTGCGGCGGCGCGGGCAGCTCCCCCACCTCCTCCCAGCGCCCCTACAAGGCGGCGGCGGGCGGCGGCGGGGCCAGCAAGAACAGCCTGGTGAAGCCGCCCTACTCCTACATCGCGCTCATCACCATGGCCATCCTGCAGAGCCCCAAGAAGCGCCTGACGCTCAGCGAGATCTGCGAGTTCATCAGCGGCCGCTTCCCCTACTACCGGGAGAAGTTCCCCGCCTGGCAGAACAGCATCCGCCACAACCTCTCGCTCAACGACTGCTTCGTCAAGATCCCCCGCGAGCCCGGCAACCCGGGCAAGGGCAACTACTGGACCCTGGACCCGGAGTCCGCCGACATGTTCGACAACGGCAGCTTCCTGCGCCGGAGGAAGCGCTTCAAGCGGCAGCCGCTGCCGGCGCCCGAGCTGCTGCTGCGCGGGGTGGATCCCGGCACCTTCCTGCAGCAGCAGCCGCCGCCGCCGCAGCCGGCGCCCTACGGCTACGGACCCTACAGCTGTGGATATGGCATTCAGCTCCAGCCTTACCACCCGCACTCCGCCGCCCTCTTTGCCTTTCACCACCACTCCCCGCCGGCCCGGCAGCCGCCCCCGAGCGCCGCCGGCCCCGTCCTGCCTCCTGCTGCTGCTCCTGCAGCTCCACCAGCCTCCTTACTGCCAGCGGCGGAGCTGGCCAGGACCTTCAGCTACCCGCCCCAGCTTAGCCCGTCCCTGACTTCTTCTCTGCACGCTGCCAAATCCAGCAGCTCGGCTCTGGCCCGGTCCCCCTTCTCCATTGAGAGCATCATCGGGGGGGCTGGCAGCAGCTGTGCGTCCCAGTCTGCGGTGGTTCCCGTCTTAGCCAGGTCTCTGGTTTCTTCGTCCTCCGTTTCTTCTGCCGCCGCGGCCTTAGGGGCACTGCACCAAGGGACAGCCTTGTCCAATGTCGAAAACTTTACTGCTAGGATTTCAAATTGTTAACGATTTAAAGTCTTTCAGAAGGTAGGATTCGGGGTATATCTTTTTTTCACCTTCACGAATTGAAACGGACATTTTATACAGCCGATTTCTGTCCTGCCACTTTGTTGTTCGGCACCTATATTTATGCAAAGCCAATTCTATATGCTGCATAGGCAGAAACTTTTGTTGTTGGAAAGTTATATCTTATTCCTTTAAAAAAAATCTCTAAACCATTGAAGTTCGGAGATTCTCAGGTCCAGGAATTCAAAAACAATAATGTACAAGAGAAATGAAAGGTCGTGAGGGAGGACAATAAAGCAATACTTTTTCATTTTAGTACACTTGTCTCATGTACTTTTATAAAAGAAAATTAACATGTTTACACAGAAGAAAGTCAAGATTATCCTTTCTTATTTTAACCTGTGTTTTGTATTATAATAGACATACGGAGTTTTTATTTTGTACTTTATGCGTATTCTTTACAAGGAATGTTGTTAAAATTACTGGCAAGTATTATTGTACTATTCTAATGTACATTTTTTACACATTTTCAAAAATAAATTTTTTAATTTTCAAAAAAGTCCCACCCATACAATTGGCTTTGGACGTTCCCCTCTTTAGCACTTCCCCTCCCCCCGCCCCCACCGGATAGAGTGAGAGTTTTGATTTGCGATTAGTAGAATAATAGAGAAGTTAATACAACAGTAATCACAATACTTTACAGCAAATAGTTATTTATAAAAGGATTTGACCAAGAAGAAAATCAGAATATGATCTTCACAGTCTAGCCATTGTCAACTATAACAGGTAATAAAAAGTAAAAATATCAATGGGGGGAGGAAAGTAAGTAAATCTATTTGTTGTTGGAAGATATCCACTTCCTGCAAATTACAATGCTCTAAAACTAAAACTATTTGTATTTGGGTCAATAAATGTAGACTATTTTAATACTTTTGGGTGTGTTTTAAATCATAACTACATCAGTTTAGTTTCCAAAGGGTATGGAGGAAAAGAAAAATAAATTCTATATAAACAGCTATTATGGGGAATTTTCCCCTTATACTTTTAGGTTGATGTAAAGACAATACGAGCACTTTCAGCTACTTTGAGAGAGAGAGAGAGAGTACAAAAGGTACATTTAAATATATAATATATTTCTGTAGAAACCATTTATTAAATATTCAAGTAATTTACATAGAAATATATAAATATACAAAATATACGCAGTTATTATCATATCAGATTTAGACAAAAATTGAGACACAAAGTCTGAATTTGAAAAACACATTTGTAAAACATGGGCCTGTGACTGAATGGAATATTATGAAGTACAAACATATGGATTCCAAATCAGAGAGTTCGGTTTAAAAGGTATCCTCTGTAATTTTATTTCAAGCATATTTTGGCAGATTAAAGAACAAAGTATCCTGATTTCCTGAAAAACGGAAGTTTTTTTCAGTTATATGGTTTCACATTTCAATTTTTTTTCGTCAGTTTACAGAAGGATAGTGGTCTGTGCTCTCGTAAATAGCTAAATAATTATTTTGTATTTCGTTTGTAGCAATGCGGTGTTAAAATTGTTTTTAATAAGCGGAATGACTCAACTTCTGGTCTCTGCTGAGTTCTATTTGCAGCATATAGATGAAGGGCCGCTTTGGGTCGCCTGAGAACAAAAGTATGTACAGTCACATTTAATCTTTAGAATAAGAGAAAAATCTCAAAGGTATCATATATTTGTCCTTGTAAGAAGATTGGAAAAATATTTTATTTCATTATGATTCACAAATGACCTATTAAATACGGGTTTATAAAAGTTCCTGAAGAAGAAATAGGTCTACATTTTACAGAACCATTTAAAGTCAACTATTGCAAGACATATTTGTTGATGGAGTAATATATTGTACTTCGAGTAAATATGTGTTAAATCTCGCAAACACTGTGCTAATAGAGTTTAAATTAGCTGGCCAGTATCCCTAAAATCATAGTTTAATTATGAATTAAACTATTCATAGCAGCCCTCTAAAAATACAGGCCAACATATTCAAACGTGGGTGACTAGTAAGCTCCCAATGGGAACTGCAAGTTCTCAGCACATTTGGAAATCATGCTACTTTTATTTAGGTGTCTAAAAATTGATTTAGTAGCCTAACAGTAGATAACCAATTTTTAAAATGTTATCCATAGGAGTTAAGATTTAAAATTATTCAGTGAAAGTTTGTAGTGGGAAAACAGGTCTATATCTATTAATACTAGATAGAGTTCTCAAACACACAGACTAGTATTCATGCTTTTATTCTTCTTGTTAGCAAGACTGTGCTTTTAGATGACAGAACATGTAAATCTCCACCCTTTATCGGTGCAACAGGGAAAGTAGCTTCAGGCGGTCCACTTCCCATTACTTGTTTCTTTTAGCTTCATAACAACAAAACCCAGGAAGAAAGCCATGTTACATGTCCATAAGGCTGTCTCCACACACGCAGGTGTGTGTGTGCCTGCGTGTTATTTTCCCCTTTGGTACCTTTAATCAGTAAAGGTATATTAAAGGCTCCTTGCATATTTCATGTCAGTGGTTTCCCTCGAATTTGGGCAGAGGCCTCCATTTGGAAATTGAAAGACAAGATAATTAGTCGCTGGTAGCTCGAGTTGAAATGACTTCCCATCACTAATTTGGGGACAAATGTGGATGTTTAGTCTGACTCCACCGGCAAGACCTAACTTCTTTAGCTGTTGTGTCTTGTGCTTCTCCAAACAGCCATGGGCTCTGCAGAGCCCTCAGGGCCCAGCGCCCCTGTGCCCGCTGCACTGAGCAGCTAGTGTCCAGGCTGCTCTGCCAGAGCAGGTGCTGTAACAAAGGCCGGCCGGCCGGCCAGCCCTAAAGCCTTTGATGGGGCTAACAACATCTCTGAGCTAGGGTTCCCCATTCGCATGCAAATGTAGCGCAGTGTCCCCTTTTCTTTGAAGGCAAACAGAAGGACATTTGTAGTGTTTGCAGGGATGGAGCCCAGTGGAGCCATTCTTCCTAAATAGGCTGGCCTCTAATAAACAAACTGGTGGGGAGACAAACATGATGGTGTCGCCTCCTCCTCCTCCCAGCTACAAAGTGTGGGTTCATTAACCCGGCTCTTTTCCTCCTCATATCCCCGTAGGGCTGAGAGACGAATTACTGGAGCTGAACTGGGCGGGGATTGCTCTATATGGGGGCTAATGTTTCAAGCAGTTCCTCCAGAAGGACCACACAAAAAGAAACTTTTTAGTTTATGGTGCTATTATGCAGCGTTTTAATTTAGGGATAGATTTAGCCAAATGTTATCTATTGGGAATTTAATGCAGCCCTTATGTGTTCAATCGCTTTTTATACCACACACGGTGTCTCTTTCCAGAAATGTTTCCTTCCACGTATTGCTTTGTTTCTATTGGATAATATATGTATTTTTAATTATGTATTTTAATTCTTCTCGACCATATTATATACCATTTCTCTCAGGCATAAAACAAGATGTTGAGTCCTTCCCCACTCCTCCTTTAAAAAAAAAAACTGTTCCCCAATTTCAAACCTGAGTAGTTGGCATATCTGCATATTCCCTGTCTTACCAATGGTTCTATTACACCCAAAGGTTCTGCTGATGTAACTGAAAGTTGTGATAGTTTTGCTGTTAGCGTGCAAGAAAGAAAGAGGCTTTCTTTTTTACAGGTTGTCTCCTTTACAATATTGTCCTGAGGTAGGGTGTCTATTATTTTGAGGATGCACTTGTTTCTTGTCATTTTAAAAAAAGTCTTCCTGCGGAACAGCTGAATCTGTCTTTTCTGGGTCTCTCCCTCCTTAGTCCCATATCTCTGAGTTCTCTGCTTGGCTGAGGGTTGAGTTTGAGTCAGGAGCTGCTTCTGTTACTGCCTGGGGAAGTAGATTTGCTGCTGATGATGATGATTCAGGCCATTTCTATGTAGTATTATTTCAAGTATTCAGTGTCAGAATTGTCCTCCCTGTCTGCACAGGAAAACTGTTTTCACCTGTTCCCAGATCTATTTCAGCCTGGTGTGGTTCGTTAGTCCAAAGACTATTAAGCACAATAAGTAGCTCACAGTTATTCTCACTAAGACTGAGGCCTATGGATCTGTTTGAAAATGTGTGCGTTTTAATGGCCTCAGGTATGAACGATAGACAATACATACTGTGTGTAATATTTTCCTTCATTAGTCACAGTAAGTACCTGAGTAGTCTCCGATAATATTGTATTTGACAGAAATAATGGAAATTGTGGTCATAACCCTGCTTTTCGGGGTTTATACTATCATAACCAAATCAAATTTTCAAGTATTCTTAACAGCGTGTCTCTCCCAGCTCATACAACGTTTCGTCGGCATCCCTTTTAATTTCGTAAGAGGTTATACCAATTATGCAGATTTTTGTTTCCGGTATCGACGAAGTTTCATCGGCTCGGAGGCTTTCCAGATCTGGCAGCAGCAGGTAAGTGTAATCTTAGTACTATATTCTATAATAACACATGCTAATTTTTTCTTGCAAACAAACCAACTTTTAAACCATTGTTGATATCCCCTTCCCTGCCCCAGAACTGCGTGTTGCTGTTTACCTGCTTTTCTGCTCTACTCTGTAGTTCTTTCTGTTTGTGTGCAAATACAAATCACTTTCAGCGCCACAAACAGCGGCATTCTTCTCCCAACATCCTATTTCCCGGCTGATTGTCCTCCAATCACCTTAAATGTATATTTCACTGAAAACATGTAACACTCATTTTGAATCCGTGCTGCTATGATAAAACCAGAGAACCATGTGCATGGGAGTCCTAATGATTACTATGTTCCGATTTATTTTATGAGACAAAGGCATGCCCGCTGGGAGCCACAGATTTGCAAATCGTTTGTTGATATTGTTCTCCAGTACAATAGTACTATATTTCACAGGCATGGGTTTATTTAACTGATTACTTTGCTCCATCTTTTGTTATGTGTATATATTTCCCGAGCAGCTGTTACCTTCCTGCGGGAATTCCCCACCTGTGCCC